ACCTACCTTTGAAAAAATCCTAAATATAAACAAAGCTTTATTCACAAACAAGTTCATCACAGCATTATTTATATGCTGATTTTAAAAACTGAAAACAAGGGACTGGCCCGTGGCTCACTTGGGAGAGTGTGGTGCTAATAACACCAAGGCCAAAGGTTCGGGTCCCTATACAGGGATGGCTGGTTAGCTCACTTGAGAGAGCGTGGTGCTGACAACACCCAGTGAAGGGTTAAGATCCCCTGATCGGTCACCTTTTAGAAACAAACAAACAAAAAAACTGAAAACAGGCTAAATATCTAAATATAAAGGACAAGCATATGATTATATATATGCATATATGCAAAATTATGTAACTATTAAAAGTGACATCCTCAAAATACCACAGTAACCTCAAAAATGTGTAATCCAAAATGAAAAAATTAAGGACATAAAATGTAACACGCTTATAATCACNAAAAATGTGTAATCCAAAATGAAAAAATTAAGGACATAAAATGTAACACGCTTATAATCACGACTATATATATATATATTTTTTTTTTGTCTTTTTCCGTGTCCGGCAACGGATCGCAACCCTCAGTGTTGCCCCCGTACCGGACCGGGGACCGGCAACAGGATCGCAACCCTCGGTGTTGCTCCCGCGCCTCGCTCAGCCAGTGAGCGGGAACCGGTCTGTATGTGGGATCCGAACCCTCGGGCGGGAGCGCCGCCGCACTTCCCAAGCGGCGCACTATCCAGTGCGCCACCGGGCCGGCCCACAACTATATTTTTTAAAAACTATATACAGATATTTATCCAGATTGAAAAGATATTAACCTCTCTCACTAGCTGACTTGAACCCTACAGTGCCACAGAGTGTCTAAGAGATATCCCTATAAGATTCCATCAACTTAGATATGTTCTACAATAACTACTATGTACTTTTACAAAAAAAAGTATTATGACTCACAACTATTATATACATTTTCATATAAATATTGCAATTATTATTATTATGAGATCATCATTCTTATTTGCAGAATAGACTACACTGTAGAAGTAGTAGTACAAGGAATTTTTCTGTCCAGCTTAGATGTCTCCAATATTTAAAACAGTAAGGTCACCGGGGTCCTAGGCAGGAGCCAAGGGCAACCCCCTCTGCCTGAAAGCAGGCAGAAAAGCACACCCAGGGTCCTAGGCAGGAGTCCAGGGTAGCACTCCCTACTCAGAAGCAGGCAAGAGAGCATGCCAAAAACACCACTTCCACATGGGTGGCCCACCACCACAGTCATGGCTGCTGAAAAAGTGGCTCAATGCACAGCAGTAGTTACAGCCACCATACAGGCAGCCTACCAGATACTTGACTGCATTGACACAAGGTAGTCACCAACAGAGACCAGAAAAAGAAGAGGGACATCTCTTTCCTCAAATCCCACTACAGAGTAATAAAAGAAGCAACTGGGCTGGCTCGTGGCTCACTTGGGAGAGTGTGGTGCTAACAACACCAAGTCAAGGGTTAAGATTCCCTTACCGGTCATTTTTTTTTTAAAAGCAGCAACTGCTCTACCAGATTACCACACATCAACATAGAGATACTAGAAATACAATAACCCAAGAAAAGATGACATCATGAAAAAAATACAATAATTTTCTTTCTTTCTTTCTTTCTTTCTTTCTTTTTTTTTTTTTTTTGTCTTTTTGTCTTTTTTACTGACCGGTAACAGGATTGCAACCCTCGGTGTTGCGCCCGTACCGGTTTTTGTCTTTTTGTCTTTTTTACTGACCGGTAACAGGATCACAACCCTCGGTGTCGCGCCCGTACCGGGGACCGGCAACGGGATCGCAACCCTCGGTGTTGCACCTGCACCGCGCTCAGCCAGTGAGCAGGAACCGGTCTCCACATGGGATCCGAACCCTCAGCGGGAGCGCCGCCGCGCTCCCAAGCGGCGTACTCTCCACTGCGCCACCGGGCCAGCCCTACAATAATTTTCAAATACCTGACCCTACAGAGCAGGAAATCCTTGAAATGACTGAAAAGGAATTTTGAACAACAACCAGAAACTCACTGAGATATGAGAAGACTCAGTTAGACAACATAATGAAACAAGAAAAAAAATCCAGGATATGAAGGAATAAATTTACAAAGAGATTAAAACCTTAAAAGAATGTAGCAGACCTCATAGAACTGAAAGATTCACTAAACAAAATAAAAAACACAGCCGATAACTTAAGTAGCAGGCTATAACAAGCAATGAAAGAATTTCTGATCTTGAGGGTAGTCTTTTCGAAATAATCCAGGCAGACAAAAAAAAAAGGAAAAAAGAAATTTAAAACATGAAGAAAATCTGAGAGAACTAGCAGACAACCTTAAGCACACAAACCTTTGAATCATAGGTGTTCCAGAAGGGGAGGAGAAAGGAAAAGGCATGGAAAACCTATTGAACAAAATAATAATAGAAAACTACATAGGGAGAGACATGGACCTTCAGATCCAGGCAGCTCAAAGACCCCTAAACAGACTCAACCCAAAAAGATCCTCTCCAAGACACATTATAGTTGAACTGGCAAAGTTGAAAGACAAAGGCAGAATCTTAGAAGCAAGAGAAAAGCATCAAGTCACCTATAAAGGAGCCCCTATCAAACTAATGGCAGACTTCTCAACAGAAACTCTATAGGCCAGAAGAAAATGGGATGATATATTCAAAATACTAAAAGAAAAAAACTGCCAGCCAAGAATACTATACCCAGCAAGGCTATCCTTCAGAAATGAGAGAAAAATAGTGTATTTTTCAGACAAAAACTACAGGAATTCTCTACCATATGACCAGCCCTCAAGGAAGTCCTGCATCTGGAACCCAAAAAACAGTAATCACTAAAACAAATACACAAGAAAGAACAAAACCCACTGGTAGAACAAAAATGCAAATGAGAAAGAGAAAGAAACTAAATCTTTTTTTTTCTTTGTCCTTTTTTTTTTGAGACCAGCCCCACCGCGCTCAGCCAGTGAGCGCCGGCCATCCGTATATAGAATCCGAACCCGCAGCGGGAGCGCTGCCACGCTCCCAGCGCCGCACTCTCCCGAGTGCACCATGGGCTCAGCCCAAGAAACTAAATCTTACCACCACAAAAAACCATAATGACAATGTAATGCCCCTACTTTATTTCTGATTTTAGTGATTTCGGTCTTTTCTCTTTTTCTTGTTCAGTCTAGATAAAGGTTTGCAAATTTTTTTTTTTTTTTTTTTAAAGATGACCAGTAAGGGGATCTTAACCCTTGACTTGGTGTTGTCAGCACCATGCTCTCCCAAGTGAGTTAACTGGCCACCCCTATGTAGGGATCTGAACCCATGGCCTTGGTGTTAGCAGTACCACACTCTCCCAAGTGAGCCATGCGTCAGCCCTTAAAGGTTTGCAAATTTTGTTGATCTTTTTAAAGAGTCAACTTTTTGATTTTGTTGACTTTCTCTATTGTTTTTAAATATTCTATTTCATATATTTTTGTTGTAATCTTTGTTATTTCATACTTATATTTGCTTTTGGTTTAGTTTGCTCTACTTTTTCTATTATCTTAATGTAGGAAGTTTACATTACTGATTTGAGATTTTTCTTATTCTTTTTTTTTTTTTTTTTTTTTAAAAAGATGACCGGTAAGGGGATCTCAACCCTTGGCTTGGTGTTGTCAGCACCAAAAGGACAAAAAAAAAAAATTCTCATGCAAGTGTTGTTGACTATAAGTTAATAGTTGACTTGGTGTTGTCAGCACCACGGTCACCCAGTGAGCTAACTGGCCATCCTTATATGGGATCCGAACCCATGGCCTTGGTGTTATCAGCACCACACTCTCCTGACTGAGCCTGTGCCAGCCCTTGAAGACTTTTAAAAATACAGATTCTGTAGCTCTGTCCCCAGAGATTCTGACTTAATTAGTCTGGGCATTTGATACCCAAGCAATAGAATTCAAATCTTCCCAGGTGTTGCTAATATGCAACTTAGATTGAGAACTACTGCCATAAATGATTTTAAACTATTCAATAACGTTACCGGGGGGAAAAAAAAAAAGACTGCTGATACTTACATTGAAACTTTCTAAGGTTGATTAATCCATGATCTCTTATAATTCTAGAGTGAAAAACCACAATAGTCTGTGCATTAGAATTAGTTTCACGTTTAGTAATATCTTCCACATGCAACTTTTATTAGATATCCTTAACACTCTGAGGTGGAATATGAAGATCCAAAGAAGTCACTCCCCACAAACTTCTGCAGGCCAGTGAATCACTGACACAATTTTAGGCTCTCAAGTACCACACAGTTTTCCTCTCCTTGGGCATAGATTCACAGCAACTATTGGATGAATCAACGACTACTCACAAATATTGAAAAACACTTGTCTGTCACTTAAGATGAAACAGAAGGGAATCTGTGTCCACATCATAAAATTAATCTATTCAGTTTGTGGAAATGATCATTGAGAACAGCCTGCTAACCACAGCAGAGAAACCTGCTAACCATAAGCTCACATTCAACATTTACAACAGTGCATTCATACAACACTTTGAAATTATTTGAAATAAATACATATTGTACATATTTAGTGGAAGGGCATCATAAAACATAAGCTCTGGGCCGGCCCGGTGGCGCACTCGGTAGAGTGCGGCGCTTGGGAGCGCGGCGGCGCTCCCGCCGAGGGTTCGGATCCCATATAGAGACCGGTCCACTCACTGGTTGAGTGCGGTGCGGGCGCGACACCGAGGGTTGTGATCCCATTGCCGGTCACGAAAAAAAGACAAAAAGGAATAAATAAATAAATAAAAAATAAAACATAAGCTCTAATAGCAACCTCAACAACTGAGTTCTACAATCCTCTCTAGTTCTAATTGTGTGTTTTAAGCAAGATAAAATTTAACTAAACCATACAGGCCTTTGATATATACCAGAGGTATACATGACTAGCAATGAAGGTTCTCACAGGAGTAACTCGGTAAGCTTCTCCAGCACTTCATGGAAGCTAACTCCAGACATGCAGAGAGTAAGCTTTGCTTTAGATCATGTCCTGGTTCCTCCCAAGTCCTTCTCCATTTTACTGTTGAGATACCACTGTGTCTGTAGTTATCAACACCACAGTAACAGACTTGTCTACACACATATACATACATACATGCACGTTCACACCTTCTGCATACCCCTCTCTGAACTGTTAAGGTCTCTGTAATCCGATAGGGGTCTGAGATCCATAATTTCTAAGTCTGAATGTTTATTTTTTGACCTATTTCAAAGAATAACCAGGGTGCCTAAAGTTTGTGCAGAATTTCTTTGAAATCCTTTTAGATAAAAACATCTCATAAAAAATGAACCATGAGAATGAGAGCATTAAAAAAAGTGTAACAACCTAATTACACCTTGAATTTACCTTGTTCCTTTTTTCCAGAATTTAAAACAGTGTACCCACTGATATCATTTGGATATGTTTATCCCCCCAACCTTTGTTCTCCTAAAGCTCATGTTAAAATCTGATCCCAAATGTGGCAGTGTTGGGAGCTGTTTGGGTTATGGGGAGTGGATCCCTCATGAATAGATTAATGCCTTCCATGGGGGAGGTGGGTAGTTAAGTGAGTTCCTATGAGAGATGGTTGTTTAAAGGACCCTGGCACTGCCTCTCTCTTTCTCTCTCTCACTTCCTCTTGCCATGTGATCTGCTTGCACCCACCAGTTGCCTGCTGTTTTCTGCCATGAGTGGAAGCGGTCTGAGGCATGCACCAGATGCAGCTGTTCCAGAATCATGAGCCAAATATACCTCTTTTCTTTACAAATTACCCAGCTTCACGTGTTCTATTATACAACTCAAAAGCAGACTAATACCCACATTATTCACTGTTCATCATAACATCAAGAAAAAGTAAGAAGGAGGAGTTAAAAACAAGATGAGGATTATTATCCCCATTTGATAGATGGAAAAAATTGAGGCCCAGTGAAGATAAGATGAGCCACAAGTAGAACAACATTCTTATAGACTATATGTGGACTATACAAAAAGCTGAAAGAAGGCAGGATGGTTTTTATACTTACTTTTTTCGTCTTTGTCTCTCCTTTAACCTGGAATGATAGATATCTACCACAGCCATCTTCAGAGCTATAAATAAATAAATATGTACATATAAATAATATATATATAAGTAGTATAAATAAATACAGCCAAGATGAAAATAATCTTTTACCCAACTTTAAACCTCATATTGCTAACTATTCTGCACTCACTAATCTGGAAAATTTGCTTATGGGAACATAAAAATATCCTAGCATTATGAACTTCTCTACCAGTAAATCACAGTGAAATTCTTTTTCCCTATGTATATATTATATGACATTACTCTGCAGATTATAATTTCTGCTTTCTACTAAACACCTCTTTTGAAGATTGTTATGTATATTATTACATACAGTGAATGTCTAAACTTGAGTAATACATGGGCTAGAAATTAAATCTATTAGAGTAGTCATAAAAATGAATATTGATTGTGGTCACAACTGCACAGGAAAAAGCTCAAGAGACAATGTCAAGACAAGACTAACATGAATAAAAGTGCAGTGCAGACATTTTCCTAGACGATCAGTTTTCATTTGGAGAGAAGCAACTCTTTAGGGTGTAGAGTTTTGCATTCTGTAATGAAAAGTTCCATTAAGTAGCCTAACCAATGTAAAAGCCATGTCCTCCTTGGTTGCCCATGTCCCAGTCCTTTTCTGGATTTAGTCTCATGTTAGAGACATTGGGAATAAGAAGAAAAGAGGCAGTGGATAGTAGAAGTTTTAATCAATACAACAGTTCTGGTTCTTTCTTTCCCTGGCCACTCTTTTTCCATCTTCAGAGTTCCTAAGGCTTGTGTTCTCATTTCTCTTTTCACTCTTCATGTTATTCCTATAGACTCATCTACTTTTATGGTTCCAAGTACCATCAAATCATATAATCTCAAATCAGATACCTATTTTAAGCTCCAGATCCTAGTGGATATCTCTAATCACGTGGCTTTCAGTTGCAAATTTATATTTTAGCCCTTTCCCATCCTCTAAAACTCCTATTTTAGTTAAAAGCATCACAGTAAAGCTAGGTGTCCAAGACAGAAATCGACTTGGACTCTTCCTTCCTCCTCTCTCCATATCTAGTCAGTCAATGAGTTTTACCTATATTTAACAATTAAATATCTCTCAAATTCATCTCTTCATTCCTAATCATATTCCTAGGCTCAGGCATCCTGTCTCATCATCTTGATGCCATCTTGTCAGAGAGGCATTATTACTCTCTTCCTGACTCCATTCTCCCCTTACTCTAATTCACCCCCTCCAAATGGGGTACCACAGTAATAAATATATTTTTTTTTCTTTTTTTTTTTTAAAGATGACCGGTAAGGGGATCTTAACCCTTGTCTCGGTATTGTCAGCACCACACTCTCCCAAGTGAGCCACCGGCCATCCCTATATAGGGATCTGAACCCGTGGCCTTGGTGTTATCAGCACCACACTCTCCCAAGTGAGCCACCGGCCATCCCTATATAGGGATCTGAACCCGTGGCCTTGGTGTTATCAGCACCACACTCTCCCAAGTGAGCCACCGGCCATCCCTATATAGGGATCTGAACCCGTGGCCTTGGTGTTATCAGCACCACACTCTCCCGAGTGAGCCACAGGCCGGCCCTCACAGTAATATTTTAGAGCACAATCTGATGGTGTAATTGCCCTGCTTATAAGTCTTCAGTGGCTTCCTATCCATTTACAGGAGTTCAAACTCTTACATGTTATACAAGAACGTTTATTGTCTTAATCCTGCTTACGTTTCCACTCTCATTTCCTACCACTACTTCATATGCCCTATACACCATACACACAAAACAACCTGCCCAATATCATACAGCTGCGAAGTACAGAGCAGGATCCAAACCTAGGCAGTCCAGTTCCAGAGCCTTGAACAGGAAAAACACTGAAATTTTCCAACATGTTTACTTTCTCTGTGTTAGTAGGTTTACTTTCCCTTTTAGTCCCATATCATAAATCTGGCTTAACTGAAAATGAAATGTGTATTTAAAAAAAGATGTCAGAAGCAGAAAACTTCCACAGGTTTTTTATAGTCGGAAGACCCCTAGGGCTAAGAATAAGACCAATTATTAACAACTCCAGAAAAAAATGAGTAATGCATAACTTAGCACTATGCTACATTAAATCACTCTTCTCATCTATGGATTCTGAAGGCACCTTAAGATTTAATGACTGCATTAGATTCTGGAACTATCTTAATAACGTGTTATTTCCTTAAGCTTTGTGTAAATTGAGAGTTTGGTGGGTTTTGTCTTAATTACTGAATGTATTTGCAGAAGAAAGAGGCTTCAGAGCACAACATAATGACCTTGCATGTGTCCTTTGAAAAATGAAAACACATTAAAACAAAACAAAAAAAAACCACATTATTCAAATGTTAGGTAATATAATTTCTAATAACACACCAGCCTTTGTAGCAAAGAACCTTCAGAGCACAACATAATGACCTTGCATGTGTCCTTTGAAAAATGAAAACACATTAAAACAAAACAAAAAAAAAACACATTATTCAAATGTTAGGTAATATAATTTCTAATAACACACCAGCCTTTGTAGCAAAGAATTTGGCTATGTATGAGAATCATTCCTTTCAAGATAATAAGCTTCATTCCAAAACAGAGCCTAGAGTCTCTAAGCCTAGAGCCTATGGAATGCTGATAAACTCAAACAGCAATACAATCTCATTCCTCACCCAAAGAATGTGAGATCCAAGTTCAAGTTTAGTCCATGTGGGCAATGAGTTAGCACAGATATATATGTTCTGCTAGAGTAAGTTTTAAAACTTGTTTTCAAATACAATCTTATTTAGAATGGATAGGTCAGATCTGCTCTACCTGAATCTCTTTTCCCTACTCTAATCCCAGCTACATTTCCCAGTAGTGATCTCCATGGAACAATGTGAAACCCACACTTCTGCAGGAACTACATATTAGGGTAGAAAAAAAGTGGGACCAATCAAGTAGGAGAACAGAACAAAATGACTCATTAGAATCAACAATTTCTTTTATTACATGAAAGCAAACAAAAGTTGTTGAGCAAAGTGTAATCCTGGTGCAATATAATAGCCCTGGCAAGATAATAGAGATAAATTCTGGATATTCCATACTGACTCATTACTGTGCATCTCGCTGCTAGTTGCCCTTAGATATTCTTAGATTAGAAGGTTCAATACCAAAATCTTACATGCTGGGCTATGAGCAGATGTGCTATATATAAATATAAAATTTTATATATATATAAAATTTCAATCATTGGGAGATGTCCAGAAATACTTTATCCAGGCCATTCTACCTTGGGTCTGAGATAAAAATAACTTAAGTCCCAGAAGAACAATCTGGAGAGGTGAGTGAATACATATTTTTTAAAGTTTAAGTATAAAAAAAATTAACTGCCATGTATTCTTTTTGTTCATTTTTAACAAGTTCAAAGATTTAAACATTGGTTCGTTTTTCCTCATAACTGCCCACAAACTAAAAATAATTCAATACTGTCAGGTCCAAGATTTAAGGCAATGATTTTCAAACTTTTTTAGGTAGCAGAACTCTTTCTACAAATTAAATCTTTCTTGATTTATGGGGTTGTTCCATATAAAAGTCCAGATACCATAGAATGCCCCCATACCCTGCCACTGTTTTATGACAGCTGCTGTGGAATGATGGGCTTTAGAATGCTATGCTGGTGAAGATGCACTTTACATGCCTATGTGGTAGAAGGGGCAGGTAGAAAGAGGGAGAGGAAGTATCACTGACATACAGTATAACCTAATACAAAAGTCCTATAGTGGACTCTATCTCTTATGAGAAAGGAAGAATTAAGAAGTCAACAGTTCAAGGCAGAAAGGGAATCGAATGTAATAACAATAGCTAAAATACACTGAGTACTTATATTTTAGGCTCTTTTTAGGCCTTGTCTCATTTATCTCTCCAGTAAGATGAGTTCAATAGGAAAGAAATGTCTTGAAGATCCAAAGGAAATCACTGCTAATTTTCACCAAACGGTTCTATAGTTTTTGTAAGGCAGTAACTTTACCATGATATTTCCTGAGATTTGTGTAGGAATGACTTAGTTAAAAAAGAAAAAAACTGAAGAGACTGTTTACCAAAAAAATCTGTAAATAAATACTGCTGATAATTAGTTCTGCTGCTTGATCATTTCAGTGGTTTAAACTTGTAGAACTGGCTCTGAAGAACAAAGCGAAGGAAAAATACACATAGAAGCAAATGGGAGGAGAACTGGAATTCTCCCAAAGAAAAATTCATATTTGAAGCTATCTCTTTTCTTTAGAAAGCACTCTAAGATAGCAGCAACTGATTACAAGATCTTAACTGCATGAATAACCCAGGGAGGACTACAACACAGAAGGCAGACACTGTAACAATGAGAATCATCAGTTCACATTCTACTTAAAGCAACTGGAAGCTCCAGCATAAGCTGGCAAACAAAGAACCAGATATTATTAAAAACAAACAAACCAAGACCACCCTAACCTGTCCACTGATACAAGGCCTCTGAAATTTCAGCTTTGGGAGAAACATAGTCTCCCTGTGATTACAATGGGGTCTGATAAAGTTTCCAAACGGCTAGCCTTAAAATATTTCAAGAAGTGGGCAGAAGTCAGAGGCAGCTCCTTCCCACTGCAATGTATTTCTAACACTGTTCAAAATAGCTGGCAACATGTTTCTGTTTTCTTGACAGAAGGCACTTACTGCTTGCTTGGCAAGAAAACCAATTCAGAGGGCTTAAATGCAGGGAGGCCAATCAAAATCCCTATTGCACCCTGCACAAGCACAACAAGCAACAAGCACAAACCTGTGACTCAGGTATTCCCCAGAAGCAAAGCTTTTAAAAGTCACTTCTCCCTTGAGCTTTTGACCAAGATGCACACAGATAATTGTATGAAGGGAAGAAGACCAGGACCTAGTGGTTAAAGTCAGCAACTACGAAGCCTTAGGCAAATTACTTAACTTCTTCATGCATTTCCTTGAATGTAAAATGGGAAAATATCTATTCCTTTTTCTCAGGAATGTGGCAAAGCTATAGAAGATAACTAACATGAAACCTCACAAAAAAGAAACAGCAACAAAAGTCTTAACTTCTTCATGCATTTCCTTGAATGTAAAATGGGAAAATATCTATTCCTTTTTCTCAGGAATGTGGGTGGCAAAGCTATAGAAGATAACTAACATGAAACCTCACAAAAAAGAAACAGCAACAAAAGTTCAATGTTGTAAAGATAGTAGGTATTATACAGTATTAAGAACATAGACCCTGGGGAAGGTCTACTATTATAAGCATCTACCACTTGCTGGCTGTATGATTTCAGGCAAATTACTTGACTTTCCATGCTCATCTGCAAAATGAAGACAATAATAATACTCAACTCATAGAGTTTTGTGAGGATTAAGCAACCTATATGTGAAGAACTTAGAATGGTACCTGACAAACAGTAAGTGCTATTTGAATTAGCTATTACTAACAGTATTTATACCTAAAATGTCCTATGTTTAAAACAGCTAAATCACTATAAAGTAACAAGCACTGCCAATCGGTGAATGCACACAGAGACCAGGCTAGACCTCTGATCTACTAACTGTTAAAACATGTAAGCATTGACAATAGGGACCAAGAAATACAATCTGAAAAATGGGGGTAGGGAGGAGAGGATCCATGCCTAGCTGAGAAATCTGGCTGAAATTAGCTTTCCAAATAGAGGGAGCGTAAATTTTACTAATGTGCAATCAATCCTGAGAAGTGTTGAAAACACAGACCTGAAATACAGGAAGAATTCATTATGCCTCTTGCTTGCCTGGGTTATGGGACAATAATGACTAGAAGACACCACACCCAGGATATTAGGACACCGAGAAACTAGGGAAAAAGAGTAGTCCACACATTTAGGAGAGATTTTCACAAATGAAAGGACATGGGGAAAGAGATGTCAGTAAGAGGGGAACTACAATAAGCAATAAGCATTTGCACTGAGATTTCACAACTTATGATAAAACAGGAGATTTCCAAGCTTAGTCTTCTGTATCTCCTTCTGAACCAAAAATTTCTAGTTATTCCAATAAAACATGAAAAGCAATGAAAGCAAGTGCTATTTAGGGATCCCAGAACTTTCTTATTTTTCTTCCTCAGACATTGCTTCACTTGCAAAATCTTTTTTGGGCCCATTCTGAAAGCTTTCTGGTATGACTGGAATGCAATTAATTATCCCTCCATTGTGTACTAGGCCTCTATAATGGACCATGCAAACCAATTTTATTAAACAAATTTCAGGAATCAAAGCAAAAGACTTGTTTGGGTGAGGAAAAGGGCTTGGTGGCATCAGCTGATATGCTAGATGCGTTCAGAATACAAAACCCACACACAGTCTGCTTCCTTCCGGTAGTTATAAGTGAGGGAACATAAAAGGAATGTTGTTAATGCTCAGTAATATTAAAAGTATAATAGTATAATGGAATGGTAGTAACACCCCTCTGAATTATGTACCATCTTTCATTGGAGACATTTACATTCTCTGACTAATCAGAGTCACCCTTGCTTTACTGGCAGGGAACACAAAGAATCAGGGAACAAGATTTCAAGGACCTGTTCAAGATTACATAGTGACTCAGAAGCAAGCCTGAGGTTGAATTTGCGTCCTGATTTCCACAAAATTTGTGTGTCTCTCTCTATTCTAGGTGTGCTGAAAAATTCCTTGCCATACCTTCCCGAGTCTCCTTGGGTTCCTAGTCCCCTCCACTGAGTGTTTTAGGAGAAACTGCTCACGGGCAATAAGCCCCTGGACATGGGTCATGCTACCAGAGGAGCTACTATAAGAACTCAGAACCATAACAAAGAATCTCTTTGTGGCACCAGCAAGTCATCCCCTTCATCTCCAAACCTCTCTAAAATGTTATCATCTTTTTAAAAGCACCCATGTAAACATCTTAAAGGTCACTATTGGGCAAGGGGGAAAGGATTATTATTTATGTTGTGTTAAAGCTACTTATGTATAAGAATTTAATAAGTGATGCTTCAGTTCTAGTTCAAATGAAAAACAGTGATTTATAGTGTTGTAAAAACTGTAGGAAGAGCACAAATAACTAAAGTATGTTATAGGTTTGAAAAGCTAACTGAACTAAAAATTGCTAATCAATCAATTACTTCTTTCTGATTGTTCCTTTTGTCCCCGCTTAATTACTGAAAGGGCCACAAGTGCACTGGGAGAAATTGCAAATCCTGCTTCTACAAAGAATGAAGAATGAAATTAAATACCAACCATTACTACAGTTTTCTAAATAACGTTGAGACATAAGAATGAAGACCTTGGATTAGGGCCTAAAAAATGACTCAGCAAGTCCCTTACATTGTTGAGCCATTACTGACATTAAAAATTTTGACTCTCAAAAGTTTGGTATTTTTGAACAGTATCTAAAAGGATCATATTTATGAAGCTGACCTTTTCGAGTATAGTAGTCTGGTGTTCTGGTAAGAAAGATACAAGTCAGGAAACAATACCATTTTAATAAAAGCTGATGTGTATGAGGAGAAATACTGAATGGTGATCTACACACCATCTTTAAGGGAATAACACAAGAGGTGAGAACAGAAAACATGAGTCACTGAGATTGAACAGAAAAGACTGACATAAAGGATTGAACAAATACAATTAATCTAGTGAATGCTAAAGTAGTTTGCTTTCAAGCTTTCCTCTTTTAGTTCAATCTGCGTCACTCTGACTTTCCTTAAAGTTGTGTGGGAGAAAAGAAGAGGAATGAGAATTTGCAAGGAAAACTGCTCAAGAAATGTGTAGAAAAAAAATTCTGAAACTAAAAGTTTTGGGGACTCTCTTGATCCCAGATCTGGTGTAACAAATACCCAGGCACCTCTTCCATGGACAGAAGAACTGAGTTCCCCTTCTAGTGACAGAGTACCAATTAATGCAACATGAAAACTTGATTTATAATTCAACAAGTATTCTACTTGCATTTTCTGCCTGGGATGTAGATTTAAGAGAAATAATGAAGATGTTGTTTGGGGAATATAGACTCCAACAGAGCATTATTGATCTACTGAATCATATTCAGTTCTACACTGAAATGAAAAGGAAGACTGGGGATTATTTTAAGTATGTAGTTCACTGAAAGCAGAAAGAGGGAAAAAAAGAAACTCAATGAAAGCCTAAACATCCACTTTTTTTTTTTTTTGTCCTTTTTGAGACCGGCCGCACCTCGCTCAGCCAGTGAGCACACCGGCCATCCCTATATAGGATCCGAACCCGTGGCGGGAGCGCTGCTGCGCTCCCAGTGCTGCACTATCCCGAGTGTGCCACGGGCTCGTCCCTAAACATCCACTTTTAACAGCCCTGTGGCATTCACCACTTAAGTTATTACAGAAGAGCTGACATAAACACTTAGAGGGCTAATTTAAGATTAGAATTCAGAAGTGCTAAAAATTAAACAGTTTTGAGAAACAAGAAATTCCCAATTTTGGCCTAAAAACCCTTGAAGAATTTCCATTCTTTTTCCCTACTATGGGAAATTTGGAGTAACAAATGAACATATAGTATCAGTAGGTGCTCCTGAAGTCCCAAGGCTCACACTGACTCCCTTTCCTTCTAAGGAGGCATGTGAGGGCCACCACTTACCTCAGTCAAATAAGAGATCCACAGTTCAAGGGATGGGATATTCCCAACTACTATTACATGATCAATATTTTCACCATCATCACAAAGCTTATTCAGTGTAGTCAAAAACCTACAACAGGGTAAGTTCAGCAACTTAATCACTAGGTTTTGAATTCCATGAAGGCAGGAAACATGTTTTATTCACCCGTATATTCCTAGCTCCCAACATAGTGTCATAACATAGTCTGTACTCAATAACATTTGATAAAATAAAGTGTTACCATGTAAAATGTCCGAGTCATCTTCAACAAAATCAATGTCTCTCAAGTCCCATTCTGCATAATTGTCAAACTCCTGTTTGGGGGAAAAAAAAAATCCCCACCCCAAACCCATCAGTTTTGATTAATGCCTTTACAGTAGCCATGCTTTAGAAGCAAACAGAAAATACTCAAATGCTTGTTAAAAAACACTAAATGGGATAAAAGGCCAGGATACTCCTACAAGTAACCGAAAGTTGTGGGAAAAATCTGAGAGGCTTTCAGGTAGTAGTGACAAAAAAAACTTAGAATAATGAAGCCAAAACTATTGTTCTAAAAATTAAAAATAGTCTGTTCACTCCTGAGAAAATCTAACTTTGATTACAGACCTTCAAATACTTAGGTAAGAAAACTGTTTGCAGTAATTCATCTACCTTTTATTACTTTTCAAGGGCTCTATTTATTCAATAATATTGCTTATAAAGTTCAACGGTAGATTTTTCATATTCCACTCAGTGAGTACATTCATAGGGATAATACCTACAGGGTAGCTCCACAATATCACCTGCCATGAATAAAATGCTAACCGGGGTGTGGCTAGCAAAATAGTTTATAGTTTGTTAAACTTTCAGTTTATCTCCAGGAGCACTGTAATTGTGGATTAGATGATAAATCAAAAGACTTGTGAATACATTCACATGGCTTGAATTCCATGGATGAGCAAGGAACATACAGTTTTTTATACATATTCATCATTCTTTATAAACTTATGGATACACTGCAGTAGTCAGCAAACTACTATCCATCCCACTGCCTGTTTTTGTACATAAAGTTTTATTGAAACACTGAAATACTCATTTGTTTATGTATTATCTATGCTGCTTTTGCACAATAACAGCAAAGTTTAGCTGCAACAGAAACTTTATGGCCTGAAAAACCTAAAATACTTACTATATAGCCTTTAATAGAAAAAGTTTGCCAGGCCCTGATATAGTATAACCTTGAAGCCCCCATGTATGGAACGAGAACTAGACTGAAGAAATTCTATACCTACTAATGAAGTAGGAGCCAGCACTGATGAACTTAAGAAACAGGTTCTTGGTCTGAAGAACTTTTACTGTTTCCACACATGAAAATGATTACAAAAGAGAAAAGACATTCAAATGGAAGAAAATGTAGCTGCCTCAAGGCACTACAAATTACAGTGCTTTGAAAAACTCCTTCTAGTAATATGGAGACTATGGGTAAGAGATATAAGCCTCATCAGAAACAAAAACAGGGCTGACTAGTTAGCTCAGTTGGTTAGGGCATGGTGCTGATAACACCAAGGTCAAGGGTTCGATCCCTGTACCAGCCAGCCACCAAAAAAAAAAAAGGTTTTCCTACCTTGTGCTAAAAACATGTTTCTCCTACCTCAATGAAATCTGCTCGAGCTGGCATGTACCCTGCCATGTCCCGAGAAAGCAAGGAGTCAAAGGTAGGTCGGGGAGGGTCATCTGTAGCTGAAAGAATTTAGAGTTTTTCTCAGTTAATAAAATATTGGCATGAAATAGTGACACAGAAATAGTCCTTATTTACACTATAGAATATTTTTGTTAGGAGAAAAACAGTATCTGAGAGAATAAAGAAAATTAAAAGGTTTTTATAAAGGGAAATGTGAAAAAGATAATAAGGTATTATGAAAACAGACTGATTTCTTAAAAAAGGAAACTAAGATTAAGGGAATCCTCTAAGTAAATATGGGGAAATTCCCTAATTTTTACTTTCCTAAAACTAAAGGAAATAAAGGACCTTTTCTTCTAATATTATAGAACATAAATATTTACCCTGTCAACCTCAGCTCTCTTGCCCCTTAGGGCCAAATTTCATCCAACTAAGAATCAAAAAAAGCTCACTGGATTTGGAAGTTAGCTGGAATCGAGTCCCAGCTCTAACATACAGTAGTCCTCTGAAGTTGCACAAATTTAACCTTTCAGAATCTGTTTCCCCATGAATAAAACAAAAGCACTTGCTCTGCCTATCTCACTGGGTTGCTATTGGGAACAAATGGTCTAATGCATTCTATAACCAAATGCTAACATCCAAAGTGCTATCCAAATAGGAGGTGTCACCAGCCTCTCAATTAGTCAGCTATAAAACTGTTTCCAGAGAGTATGAGAAAAGGGAATGTGGAAGGCAAAACATATCTCTTTATTTATGCTCTGGGAATCATTCATGAAAGAAATCCATTTATAATTCATCATGTTTTGGGTTACGTTTTATTAAAAGACCCATTGGCCCCACAGGCAAATGTGATTAAAAAGTTCACCATCACCGCCACAACCGAATGAACAAAATAACAAATTGCTTGACACTGGGACACTTAATGAGTAAAATACTGGACTTCTTAAGCAACTCTTATGTATGATCATAAACTCTCCAAAGGGATTGCAAAAAGGCTTGTACTCGCAACAGCATAAAAAGGTTGGTCTCTTTTCAACATCTTATCTTACAGACGCAAGCATTAAAGTTAACTGATATGTCCAAGGAACTCACAATGGGTGGAACTACATACTGGCTTCAGGAACCCTAATAAATCGAAAAGTCCAGTATAGAACTATAGTCCACTATAGGACTACAGTCCAGTTTAGAACTCTGACCCCTGGTATATATTCCCTCCTTGCCACATTATGGCCCTGACTCTCAATAGCTGCCATGCCAACTCCTCCTATCTTCCATAAGCTCCTTAGCTGTCCAAGTCATCAAACAACTTTTTATCTGCTACTGAAACAGGGCTCAAGAATGAGCTAAGTATCTCTTACCAAAATAGGGAGGCACTTACAGTGAAATGGAATGGCTGTGTCAGCAGTTTTTGCCTCCTCTGCCTGTTTCAGGTTCAGCAGCGTAGACGCAAACAGAGGGTTATTGATGAAATGCTTCATATAGTGCTTCTCGCATTCCTCCTTGGTCTTGGTACACATTTGATTGGCTACATCCTGCCTAGAGGAGTATGAGAAAAAGACAGAAGTAGTGCTCTCATTTATACACAATGGTAAAAGCATGGTTTGTTCTTTCCATATTTTAAGTCACATCCATATAACATCTGTAATCTGATACCTCCAAACTAATATCCTGGCAGTATCAGTAGAAAAATGAGACAAATATAAGCCTAGATTAGTGTCATCTGATGTTCCAAATCCTGCTATTCCAAGATATAAAACAGTATCTAAAAAGTCCTTTACTTTCTACCAAAAGAAAGGAAGATGACAAGAAAATTTGTAAATTCTCCTGTGAGCTAGGCTGTAGGGAAAGAATTTCTATAAATAATAAGCCACTTCTGAACACTCAAAATGTACATAAGTATAGTTTTATTTTTGCATAATGTTTTATAGTTCACAAAATACTTCACATGGACAAACATTTCCTTACTAGAGCTCCTATGATACACCAGGCACTAAGTTGAAAGATTCACAACACAGTTTAAGTTAATCCTAGTATTGGGCCAGCCCCATGGCACACTTGGGAGACTGCAGCGCTGGGAGCGCAGCAACGCTCCCGCCGCGGGTTCGGATCCTATATGGGAGTGGCCGGTGCGCTCGCTGGCTGAGCGCGGTGCGGGTGACACCACACCAAGGGTTGCGATCCCCTTACCGGTCACGAAAAAGACAAAAAAAAAATTTTTTTAATTTAAAAAAATAAGTTAATCCTAGTATTAACCTTGTGGTGTGGGTATTATTATTATCTCAGTTTCGCAGAAGAAAAAATGAGACCCAAAGAGACTAACAAATTTGCTCAAGAACACAAAGCTCATAAGTGACAAAGCCAGAATTTATACTCAAGACCTCTGACCCCTAGCCCAGGTGATAGGGAGGCAGAGGTGAAATCCCTCAAAGTCTGTTTCCCTGAAGCTCTCTCTTCCACAGCACTTCACTTACCCTTCGCCTAAGGCATCACTATGCTATGCTTTGTGTACTTCAGTCATTTGTATATTTATTTTGATTGCCATACTAGACAAGCTTCTGAGGGCAGGATGCATATCTTAATTCTTAGCTCCAGCCCCCTCACAACCGAGCTTAGGACCTTACCCACAGTGGGTAGAGAAGCAATAGTGTTTTCTGCGGTCTTTGCTAAGAGGAAAAGAGGACAGGGAGGATTAGCCCACTTCAGAGAGTTAGAACTGCAAGCAAAAAATGAAAAACTAGGCCAAAGATGACTAGCAAGCTCCTCGCAAGTGATCACTTTTCTACCTTCTTTGTTGTTCCCCATAGTACACAATATTTGATGATGCTTAACAAATGCTGAATGAATGAATACAAGCAAAATGTGAACTGAATTCAGGTCTCCTTTTCAGCATAGTATATTCTAATGAACACCAGGAAAGATTATATATACTAGCAAGTCAGGACAGGGAGGATCTAATTGAGAGTCCTTCATTAACCATTTTCACACCCTAAGCTTCAGATTCTTTGCGAAAAAAATATATTTAATAACACTGCTCAGTCATGGACCGCTGAACATCCCATATCCTGTGAAGCATTTCAGCCCTGGAAAATAATAGGCAGAGGGGAAGAAAACTTGTCTCTAATCACAGGTCAATAGGAAAACAACACATGCTTTCCTCTTCCTGAGGCTCCTCCCTTTACATTTCAACAGTAGCTTCTCCTCTGAGTCCACTAGGGCAAGGTAATTCTTAATACCAAGCTCTTACCAATTTCCAAAGCCACAGTCCATCACAGCTTCTAAAAGGGCCATTTCTTCTTGAGCAGTCCAGCTGGGATCAAGAACCGGAAAATCTGAGGTCTAAGAAGAAAAAAGTTTTGCCTGAGAATAGAGATAGAAATAAAAGCTAGGAACACCAACTGTAGTACTAGTTTATACTTGAATGTCATCCTCACGGTATTGAGAAGCACCTAAAATTTACTTTTATGAGTAGCCTACCTCTCCCACCCCTATTTCCTCCACTAGCTACAAGTGTACAATAAATATTATCACTCATAAATGCCATGTAACTCATGCAGAAATATATATTTTTGGAAATATATATATTTCCCATTGGAAAGTGGGATTTTTGGCTTGGGAAAAAGAAAAGATATAGATGTAAGATCTATAAAGTTATATAAAAGACTTGTAGTCTTGTATTTGAATTGAAAGTTCTAGTAGAAACTCATGATGTATTTTACTTTAAAAGAAAAATAATTTCAACAGTGTTCATTAAAAAGGTTTAGAAATGATGACCAACCTAGTAACAATGAGTGCTTCTAGTGCCCAGTTTGCAGTCTTCAGATGCTATTCTCACTAAAAGGAATCACGACTCCTTAGAGAAAGGCTGATTCCAGGTCTGGGTCAGGAAATGGACAAGATCAGGCCGGAACAGTCTGTCATACTGGGAAGCAAAGAAGCTCTCAAGGACTATAAGGGTCATGTCAAAAGGATTCAGAAGCCAAATTGTAGAGGCTCCTGCTAACCAAAAATGGAATATTTTGGGCATCAATAAGGATAAATACAAAGGGTTGAAACTTCTTAAATATTTTAAGTATCTGGAGGATGCTAGGGAACCAACTCATATTTTCAAAACTAATAAAGAAAAATAATCAACATTTATCCTTCCTTTCCTGCACAAACTTTACCCAGGGTCACCAAATAGTTAATAATGAGAAGTTTATTTATTTATTTACTTATTTATTTTTGTCCTTTTTGAGACTGGCCGCACCGCGCTCAGCCAGTGAGCGCTGTGAGCGCACCGGTCATCCCTAAATAGGATCTGAACCCGCGGCGAGAGCGCTGCCGCGCTCCCAGCGCCGCACCCTCCCAAGTGCACCACGGGCTCGGCCCATGAGAAGTTTATTTATTTATTTACTTATTTATTTTTGTCCTTTTTGAGACTGGCCGCACCGCGCTCAGCCAGTGAGCGCTGTGAGCGCACCGGTCATCCCTAAATAGGATCTGAACCCGCGGCGAGAGCGCTGCCGCGCTCCCAGCGCCGCACCCTCCCAAGTGCGCCACGGGCTCGGCCCATGAGAAGTTTATTTTTATAGTATTCTAACTCATAAACTAAAAGGGGTGATAGAATTAAAAGACTGCTATTTTGCAATCCCTGATGAATTAACAGATCCAGACAATGATCATAAATGAATCTGATGTAGCCACTAAACCTAACTACCAATTTACAAGAAACACAGAAGACAGAGGAACACATTAATCAGCAAAATCCAGATGGTAATAACATCTATAAGACAATCAACTCAGTTTTTAAAAATTAAACAAATTATAAGAAATGAGAGAGAAGAGCTTTTAGATTACTGAACGTGTGGAGGTGCTTGGAGGGTGGTGTATCCAGAGAGGACATGGAAGCTCTGCGCCCCTTCCCATATACATTACCCTACACTTCTATCACGTCTGGCTGTTCATCATTTAACATCACTAGTGTTAAGTCATGCTGACACCATGTACCCCCTGATATGACACAATGAGAAGGCACTTCACCTCTGTGGTCTTCCTGTTAAACACCAATAACCCAAATCTAATCATGATGAAACATCAGACATGGACATTCTAAAGAACACTCTGAACTGCCACAATCATAAATAACAAGGAAAACCTAAGAAACTGTCACAGATTGGAGGAAAATAAGGAAACACAACAACTAAATGTAATGTGGAATTCTTAACTGGACTATGGAACAGAAAAGGACATTAGTGGAAAAGCTGAACAAATATGAATAAAGTCTATAGTTTAGTTATTAGTATTGAAAATAAATAAATAAATAAATAGTTACTAGTATTGTAGCAATGTTCATTTCTTAGTTTTGACAAATTTACACCGTAATGAAAGGTGTTAACATTTGGGTAAGTAGGATGAAGGGGTATATGGGAGCTCTATGTACTATATTTGCAACTTCCCTGTAAATCTAAAATTATTAAAAAAAAAATTTTTTTTAAATCAACAAAAATAAAAAATAAGACCAAAAATAAAATAAAAGAAACAAGAGAGAGAAAAAGGGAGAACTCACATAGAAGACATATATGAAGCAACCAACTGAAAAATTGGAATGTATAGACCTTATTTGTATCTCAATTAAAACAAACTGCAAAAATGTAAAAGAAGGAAATTATGATACCATGCACCACATCCACTGAAACAGCTAAAATGAATAAGATGGACAATGCCAAATGCTGACAAACATGTGAAGGAATAAGAACTCTCATACATTGCTGACAGAGGTGCAAAATGATACAACCACTCTGGAAAACTTTTCAAACATTTCTTTAAAAGTTAAACTATCGAGGGTTCCAGTCAAGATGGCGGAATAGACAGTTCCCAGCGTCAGTCTCTCCCACAAATCCACAATTTAGAACTATGAAAATGTAACACCAGCCAAGCTGGGGCTGTTGGAGCTCAGGGGAAGAAGAGGAGAGACCCACAGAGTTCATGAAGGCAGGAGAAACCACTAAGAGAGAAAGAAAAAACTGCTCTGAGGGTTTTGGGCTGCGGCTGCTTTAAGGATGGAACTGATGAGCGCATTGAGCAGTTTCCTTCAGATGCCACAGCTGTGCCCTTCAGATGGAAAGGCAGGAGAAACCACTAAGAGAGAAAGAAAAAACTGCTCTGAGGGTTTTGGGCTGCGGCTGCTTTAAGGCTGGAACTGATGAGCGCATTGAGCAGTTTCCTTCAGATGCCACAGCTGTGCCCTTCAGATGGAGTTGGTTGGAGGCAGCAGGGGAGAAGATGGCCTTGGCATCCCCCAGGACAGCAAGACCACTAACAGGGTTCCCGTTGACCCATGCAGATTCGAGGAGCCAGAACAACTGAAAAAAGGGAGCCATTCAGAGGCCAGTGAGTCAACACAAGGGACTGGCACAGGGCCTGTCCCATGGGACGTGTTTGCTGCACGGGCGGTGGGGGAGAGGGGCCCACCGGGAGAACAGTGTGACACAGCAAGGACAGCCGACCTGCCCCCAATCAGCGCAGGACCACTCAGAGGAGACTGGTCAGGAGTGCAGAATTACATTGAGCATGGTTTGATGAAAAAACTCAGGTCCAGATCAAAGTTTATATACAACCCAGATCCACCAGGTCTGTGGAGAGCCAGCAGTACCTAAAAGGTCAACCATTAAACCCTGAGCTACATTAAAAGCCTTTCCTAGGGAAACAGCAGTAAAGCAGCAATTTAGCTCAACCACATAGCTCAAGTACTGGTTCTCACAGGAAGTTCCTCTGTTTTAGAAGTAAGCAAAGGACAACAAATTAGTTCCGGCCCAGGTGCACCACCACCGCCTTGGGGCCTGCCTGGGAACTGGAGGCTTGGATCCAGGGACTGGACCTCCCTCCCACAACCAGGCACACCATGCCAGCACCTAGGGGCCCACCTGGTGACCCGAGGAATGGAGCCAGGGACTGGACCCCACTCCCACATCCAGGCACACTGCCAGCACCTCAGGGCTCCACCCGGGGGCCCAGAGTATGGACCTGGGGACTGGACCCCCCCCTCCCACAACAAGGCACACCATGCCAGCACTTCGGGGCCCACTTGGGGACCTGAGGTATGGAGCCAGGGACCAGACCCAAATCTCACATCCAGGCACACTGTGCCAGTGCCTCAGGACCCGCCTGGTGACCCGAGGCATGGAGCCGGCAACCTGACACTCCCCACAACCAGGCACACCGCCAGCACCAAGGAGCAGGCCAAAAACACTGCCTCCATGTGGGTGGCCCACCACAGCCACCACAATAACCATGGCTGCCATGAAATTCTACACAACCTAGGTGCACCAAGTCTCTGAAGAGCTGGAAGTACTTATAAGGTTAACCATTAAACCCTGAGCTGCACAAAAAGCCTTCCCTAGAGAAACAGCAGCAAAGAAGTGATTTAGCTCAACCACACAGCTCAAGTACTGGTTCCCACAGGAAGTTCCCCCGTGTTAGAAGTAAGCAAAGGACGAAAAATTAGTTCCAGCGCAGGCACACCACCAGCATCTTGGGGCCCACCAGGGGACATGAGGTATGGAGCTAGGGACCGAATCCCACTCCCGTATCCAAGCACACTGCCAGCACCTCGGCCCCCACCCAGGGGGCCCAGGGCATGAAGCTAAGGACTGGACCTCCCGCCCACAAACACGCACACCATGCCCATGCCTCAGGGCCTCACCTGGGGGCCCGGAGCATGGATCCAGGGACTGGAAACCCCTCCCACAGCCAGACACCCCATGCCAGCACCTTGGGGCCTGCCCAGTGACCTGAGGTATGGAGCTGAGGACCTGATCCCCCTCCCACAACCAGGCACACCATGCCAGTACCTCAGGGCCTACCTGGGGACCCAAGACATGGAGAAGGGGACCAGACCCTCCTCCTACAACAAGGCACACCATGCCAGCACTTCGGGGCCCACTTGGGGACCTGAGGTATGGAGCCAGGGACCAGACCCAAATCTCACATCCAGGCACACTGTGCCAGTGCCTCAGGACCCGCCTGGTGACCCGAGGCATGGAGCCGGCAACCTGACACTCCCCACAACCAGGCACACCGCCAGCACCAAGGAGCAGGCCAAAAACACTGCCTCCATGTGGGTGGCCCACCACAGCCACCACAATAACCATGGCTACCATGAAAGCGGCTAGATGCCACAACCACCACGCAGATGGTCCGCCAACCACTGGAGTGCACTGACACAAGGAGAGTCACCAGCAGAGATAAAGAAAAGAAGACGATGTCTCTCTCCACAAAGCCCATTTCAGAGTGACAAAAGAAGCATCTGCTCTATGATAATATTGGGGGACCTGATCACACCTCTTAGCATTGGACAG